CGACAAAAAAGACAATATAATAATGAATACGTTAAAGACGTTAATGAATAAAAGCTTAAATATAACGGCTTTAATGACAACCGTATCCACAGTTTGTGGTTATTATTTGTATCAAAAACACAGCAAACAATACAAACACACATTTATGGCAAACAATCAACAATTAAGACGTAAACTACAACTAAAAAGCGTTCAAATGGTCGACACCGGGAACTACACCATCGATGAGATAGACGAAGATTTCACCTACAAGTTTGTGAAAATATATAATGCGGATGGTTATGACGCAGACAACGATACTATGTATACCTGGGGCTCCGGTTTTGTCATCGACAAGGAGTACATACTGACCAACTGTCACGTGATTGATGGCAACAAATGGTTGGATGTGCTGTCGTTTGAGGTCAACATTGAGGGCTACGTCGAGATGAAATACCCCCTCGAAAATGGACAGTTGGTGTACGCGGAGCCCGAACTGGACGCAGCACTGGTCCGCATACCGGGCTATTTGGACGTCGACGCCGTCAAGTTTGCGACGGGCGTAGAGGCGGGCGAACCGCTGGTCGTTATCGGGAATCCGCCGTACATTGACTTCACGACCGCAACGGGTGTTGTGCGCGCTATTGGTAACAGCGGACATGGCTTATCTGTCGGCACTTATGAAACATTTTCTCTGCTCGTCAGCCCTAATTGCCAACAACTGATCCACGACTGTCCGCAATACCACGGCTATTCTGGCGGTCCGGTCATCAACACAGCCCAAGAGGTGGTGGGACTCATTTGGGGCGGCATCGGTGACTTTAACGAGAGCTATGCCATACCTTCCCATTCATTGACCGGTTAGCTATAGATTTGAGAGCTAATCCAGCGGTGGTTTAATCCCTGTATTATTTTTAAAGCATTCATTGAAAGGGGACTGAAGTTTGAACGCGAGGACAAAGAGAGTAGGTATACATACCAGACATCAAAGTCGTTGGGATTAATTGTAAAATCGGTGTCCGATATGAAGACAGTTCAGCGAAGAGTTTACGGCACATTTGATCCCACAATTACCGCACCATTTGTTTACAACACTGAACTCCTGAAGACTAACTCCGCGACCACAGAGTATATATGAATTGATTTTGGTAAATATTTGGATATAATTAACACATTAATACTTTTCAGGACTTTTATAGAGAGGGATATTATCGTCGCTGTGAATGAAATGGCCGTCAATTCTGTGTCCGAACTGAGAGATTGTCTCCAAAAGTGTTCGACGGGTGAAGTCGTGGACATAACTGTCATCCGATCTCTAAATCCAAACAACAAAACACATATCAAAGTTAAACCCAAACTCATTGTCTGTTCAGTTATATAATAATAAAATTAATTACTTAATTAATACAGTACTAAAAAGTTTTAAGTTTACTAGTTTTCAATAACTTTCATCTCAATTAATTAACTTAATTCTTATGATATTTTCTTTAACTTTGTTTTATATAAAATGTGTTTAAAATATTGCATAATTAGCGCTAAATGTCATTTTATTAATGCAATTAATACAAAAATTATAATTTATTGCAAATATTGTTTCAATTAACACTTTTGGATCAGTTAATGGCAAAAAATGGTATAAATATGAGTATTAATGAATAGATTAAACAGAAAAATCATAATAATTAATACAGTATTTAAATGATTACATGATAAGAGGTAGAAGTCGTATAAAACATAATAATTGATTACAAAATAAAGTTTCAATAAACGATAAAAAAACTTTTTATAAAGTATGAAAAAGTGATGGACAGGACTGGAGATGAATCAACTCTTTAAATGATAACAACCCACCGGCTGTGGCCAGAGGTGGCCGCGGGCTATGTGTCAGTCACTGCGAGGGCACCACAAATACGGGAACCTTTTTCTCAAAAAGTTGTTTAAGTCTGAGATCAATATCGAAGGACTCGATGGTGTACTCGTCAGTGATGTCGAAGTCGAGGGGCGGACCAAACTTCTCGTCCGTTTTGTCGCCGTAGCCGACGGCGCCGCTGAGGCCCACACCGACGCTCGCCATAGTCTTCACGTCACATACTTTGTCGCCTTTAATATAAATGAGCCGTTTAGTGACGGGAGGCGGCGGTGGCCGACCGGCAGTTGTGTCCACTTTATCGCCGCCACGCCTTACGCTAAACACAAGAACTGTTGAATTGGTCCGCAGACCCGTCTCGTCCACCCGTTGGTCGTCATCGAGATCTTTGCCGTCAAACACGAGCCGCTGTTTCCCATCGGCGGAGGCGGCGGACAATTCGGTGCCGGCCTTCTTGGCGATCAACCGCTTGAGTTGGGCCACAGTCTGGAACTGAAGGACACTCACTCTCACCATCTGATCGGTCATTTTGATGCGCGCGTTGACAGAGATGGCCGACGGGTGCGGTTGATGGACGCCATTCTTGGCCTTCGGTTTGCCACCGATGGACAGCTTCGGCCGATAAGCGCGGCCCGCCTTCAACGCGATGGTCACCCGATTGGATATGATGTGAATCTCAGTGTTGGCGTCGATCTCTCCCGCGGGATACATGTCGGCGAACGACTGGCCGTCGGGTCTGTTGGGTGTCATAAACCTGAGCCGATGGCCGCAGTCTTCGAGAATGTCGTAGACTTCAAACGTGCGGCGCTTTATCACAAACGACCTCTTCGTTCCGTACGTAATATCCATCCAAATGTCAAAACCCGGCGACTGGTTCTCCACTTTGATCTCAAAGTCGGTGTCCTTATCGTCGAAAAGAGCGACAAAACTGCGGCCATCGAAGCCATCCAAGTCTAGGTGTCCACTCAACACTCTCGGCAAGCAATTGAATAACTATCTGTTCACCTGTAGCTACCGCCGGCTGCCCAGCGTGTGTCGTTACCATAACGGCAGCGGCTAGTGGCCGACCTAGAAGAACGGTCTGGACAGCTTCGGCGGTCTCTACGGGTGGGACAACTCGCGGCTGTTATTGTCTTATTCCTCATGAGTTAATGAATGAGATAATCAATACCTTTATAGTCCAGCGTTCGTACGACTTCTTGGTCTTGCGCTTCTTGACGGCAACTCTGGTCACTTGAGTGGTCAGTGTCTGTGTGGTAGACATGTCTTCGGATCACCTGATGTATGTGTCGATGGTGTGGATCCAGTGGTCGGCCGCCAAAGCGTAACACAAAATGTAAAACAATACAAAACAACGCAAACAATGCTTTCAAATGTAAAGTAAGTGTAGTTTTATTTTCCAGTGATGTAATCGCTGTACACAATGGGTTATACCGTTGCCATTAGTTGCCATATACTGTGCCTGTGCTGTAACCTATTGGTGCTAAATAGGTTTAGTTTTGTTTGACCTTGGTTGTTTTTATTGAGTTTTGTTTTAATTAATTTTAATTGTAGTTAAAAGTAAATGAACGCTCGGTTTATGTAATTAATAATGTTTTGTTTTAATGAAAAAATATTGTATGAAATGGAGAGAGAGAGAGAGAGAGAGAGAGAGAGAGANACACCACACATACCAGTGCTCTTTTAATGAGTGGTTATTAATATGTGTTTTGTTTTGTTAGAAATTGGAGGCAATCATGAGTCGGACCCGAAAGCCGCCGACCCCTACCGCCCCTCGAGTTGATTCGTCGACACCTCCGGCCCACTCGCCCAACGAGACACCGGAGCCTCCGGTCAACGAGCACTCCAATCACAGTACGCCCGAAAAGAGTCGAGAAGTGGCCAAAAATCATCAAAATTTGATGAAAAATGAAGATTTAGTGATCATAACGACCGCCACTCCCGATCTGGTGGTCGACGCCGACAGAGCTGTGCTCAACAATAGGCAAAACAACGGCTCCAACGGCGGTGTCAGCGGTGGTCAGACGCCGCACAACGGTTCCCATCAATACAATATCAATAATAATAATCATATCGAGAGCTTCAGGTAATGATTGGGTTCAATGTCTTCACTTCACTGTAATTAATGAATGTCTGTATTGTTTGCAGTGTTTCGGGCGATCTGTTAGGAATGGGTTCCGCCGCTAACCCATCGTTAGATCAATTAATTCACATAAACTACTCGACGCCAAACACCAGGACTGATGACCTCAACTCCAATAACCCGTTCGCCAACGGAAACGGCTTCACAAACGGCGGCGCCGGACATAAAAGTCAAGAACAAACAGCCATTACAGGCAAGCATTCATACCATTTACCCCTAACCCCTGCCCTCTCACCCATGTATGAGTGAACTTATGTTAGTTTATTATAACGAGAGTTTACTGTATATACGGTTAGAGTGTTGTGCTTATTATCTAATTGTTTTTTGTTATTCATTTTCAGATCTTCTCTCCTAATGTCGTCTTCACTACAAAAAAAAACAATACTTTTAACGAATTTTTGAATTGATTTTAATTAAGATTAATTTAATTTAATTTTAATTTAAGACTTTTTTTAATGACAAACAAAAAACAAATTTCCGAAAAAACCTATCAGTTTTCCATTACTTTATGTTTTTATGAATGATTAGTATAATTATATATAAATTAATTAATTAATAACATATTTATAAAATGAAATGATTATATAATAGGAGTAAACGAAACAAATATATATAAATATATAGGAAAGACATGTGAGAAAAAACACACACAAAACAAACTAAACACAGAATCGAGAGATGTTTCAAAAATAACAAAACAATACTATTGTTATCATATATTCTGTGACAGAATTTCTAAGAAATAGCGCCCAAAACAATGGCACAATTCAGGAATCAATACCTGTCTATTGATTGTCAATTGAATTTAATTGTATTGTTTTGCGAAGTGATTGGTTCGGTAGACCAGTCAACCCACTCAGTGGTCACACAAGCATTTTAGGTATCAATAAAATGTTGTTAATTGTTGTTTTGACCGTAAATTATATGCCATAAGACTTATTGATTATATAATAATTAACACAATATCTAATACCGTAATATCTCGACGATTGTCTGCAGAGGTTTTGTGTGTGTTTTTTACTCCCGTCGGCCAAAGGATTCTCTGGTGTCGATAATTCTTGTCTTTGATTTAATTGTCTTCTTCTGGAACTTCTCTCTCATATCTCTTATGGACAGCCGTTGAAAATATATGTGACATAAAAATACACACATTTCTCGCGGGAATTGAAACAAATTGTTTTGAATTTAAGACAACTAAACAAAAATGTTTTTCTTTCTCTAACTCTCATCGAAATCGTTAATTAAATTTAATTATTGAAAATAATTATCAGTAAATTTGTTGCTCACATAACTATTGGCCATTCATTATCTCCCGTATGACCGCCACTACAACTACTTCTACTACGACTACTTCAAGCCTTCCCGAAGACATCTGCCGACTCTTTCATGCATTTCCCGATACTTATCACTCCTTTCAGTCCTTTTCTCTCAACGATTATAATTATTATATATTTTTTAGGCATTAATTGATATTTTGAAAACATAAGTGCTTTTTGTGATTATTCGTTACGAAATGAGATATAAATTAAAAATTACTAAATATTAGATATAATTATTAATTGAATAGTTTTTTGAATTGATATTCAAAGACAAGTAAATATAGTTTGAGAGGAAAACAAAAAAGTTTTTATTATAAATATTGTATTTTTAGTCTAATATTTGTCTGCATAACAAAAGTCATCCGATTTTTTAAATTACAAAAACCCATTGAATCCTAAAATCAATTGTTTTTTCAATGTTTTTAATGTGTTTTTTAGACGAGATTTTTATTGAATTATATGTTTTTCTTTACTTATAATCCATGTCTTAATTGTTATAAAAATTACTAATTGTTTTGTAAAAATTAATTAATTGTATTTCTCTCTCACTCTCTCCCTCTCCTGTAAACCACTTGTAATTCATTTATACATTTCATACAATGTTTTTTCATTAAAACTAAACATTTCATTACATAAACCGAGCGTTGATTTACATTTAACTACAATTAAAATTAAAACAAAACTTTAAGTCAAGTAAAAACAACCATGCGCAAACTTTAAGTCAATTTAACCGGTTTAGCACCAATAATAGCGCAGGTATTTTATGTATTACATCATTGGAAATAAAACTTGACGTCTTTTAGAGGACGTACTAATTGGACGGACCCTACGTTTTGGCCTAAAAAAGAAAAATCAGTGCTTTTTGTTGTTATTATTGTTATTTTGTGTTACGCTTTGCGGCCGACGACTGACCACAACATTCATAGCACGGCTTAAATGGACTCCAAAGACACGATTAAAGCGGAACCACTTGTGACCACTCGAGTGCCCACTCAAGTGACGGCACCCGCAGTCCCGAAGAAGACACGGATTAAGCGTCGGCCGAAACGCTTGACATTACAGGTATTGATTATCTCATTCGTTAACCTCTTGAGGAATAAGACAATAACACGCCATGAGTTGATCCCAAACAACACACTCGTAGAGACCGGCGTCGAGGGCTATGAAGATCCGGCCTGTGATCGGCGACGGCAACACCATTGCGGCGTTGAGCCCGTCTTCAGCGTCTTCGGCGGCCATCGATGTCCGCATATCTATCAATAAGTTGGACGTCTGTGACGGCCGGCGCCGCAAAGTGCCGGTCGTACTGACGGACGGCTTCGATGACCGCACTTTCATCGCCCTCTTCGACGACAAGGACACCGACTTCGAGATCAAAGTGGATAACAGGTCTCCCGCTTTGGACGTATGGATGGACATCACGTACGGCACAAAGAGGCCGTTTATCATAAAGCGTCGCTCGCATCACATCTTCAACACCTTCGAAGACTGTGGCCATCGGCTCAGGTTTATGACACCCAACAGACCCAACGGCCGATCGTTCAAAGATATGTTTCCCGCGGGAGAGATCGGCGCCAACACTAAGATTGAGAGCGTATCCAATCGGGTGACCATCGCGTTGAGCGTCGGCCGACAACTGCGGCAACTGTCCATCGCTGCCAAACCTAAGGCTAAGAAAGGGAACCGTAAACAGCCGTCGGTTATCACTGTTAACGTGAAACTCAAAAAACCCGATCGCACAGTGAGGGTGACAATCGATGGCCACAAGACTGTCGGCGATCTGAAGCGACTGTTGGCCGCGAAGTACGCGCCCGACGCCGATGGGGAACAGCGGCTCGTATTTGACGGCAAAGATCTCGATGACGAACAACGAGTGGACGCGTCGGGTTTGCGGAACAACTCAACGATTGTGGCGTTTAGAGTAAGGCGTGAGTGCGTGGAAGAGGACAGGCGTGTGATATATTTCAAAAGCGAGAGAGTGTATGACGTGGAGACGTTGACCCGCGCGCGTGTGGGTGAGCCCGGCCTCGCAAGCGTTGGCCCCAAAACCACCGTCAAGTTGGGTCCGCCCGTCGACTTCAAGTGGAACCGTCGGTACGCCATCGAGTCCTTCGACGTCGAACTCAGGCTTAGACACCAATACGAGAAAAGGATTCCCGCATTTCTGGCGCCCGCTGTGGCCAACCAGTGACTGACATTTCTTACTCACCGATGATATCTATAGAGCTGTCGAATACCCGGTCTTATCAATCATTTAACTCTAGTTTTTACTAATTTTAAAAATTGTTTAGCATTTATAGCTATTTTTACTGTTAATCACTTATTATGTTTATATCATAATCACAATTTATAAATGTTTAATTTGTTCAATGATTTGTTAATAATTAATTGCTTTGTAATACTTGTATTTCTCTCTCTCTCTCTCTCTCTCTCTCTCTCT